TACAATTTTCACAAAGAGCAAATATAAGATAGTAATATATTCTCCCAGGGCAGGCTCCTTTGTAAGACTCACCATCGTGTATGCTGTGCTGGCTACTTTTATGCCAACTTGGCACCAGCTAGAATTATTTGGGAAATGGGAACCTCAATTGAGAAAATGTTCCCACAAGATTGGCCTGTGAGGCATTTTCTTGATTGATGATTGATGTGACAGCTCACTGTGGTCAGTGTCAACCCTGGGCAGGTGGTCTTGGGTACTTTAAGAAAGCAGTCTGAAGCCAGGCGTGGTGGCACATGCCTTTAATCCCAGCACTCAGAGGCAGGAGGATCACTATTAGATCCTCAGCCTGGTCTACAGAGTACATCCAGGACAGTCAAAGGTACACAGAGAAACCCTGTCTCAAACAAACAAACAAACAATCAAACAAACAAACAAACAAAAAAAAAGCAAGCAAGCAGGCTGAGCAAGTCACCATGAGCAAGGCAGTTAGCAGCACTGTTAGTCCACTGATAGGGGAGGTCCTCCTCCCCTTCTATCTGACCCTACCCTATCAGGTCTCATCAGGACTGTCTGCATTGTCTTTCTCTGTGGCCTGGTAAGACTGCTCCCCAACTCAGCAGGAGGTGCCACTGAGTTCATGTCTGAAACAGCCCCTGTACCTGTTACTAGGGAACCCACTTGAAAACTGAGCAGCCAATGGGTTTCCTTTGAACAGGGGGTCTAGGTCCTCTCCATGCATGGTCCTTGGTTGGAGTATTCATCCCTGTAGGCCTGTTTGGGCCCAGGCATTTTGGCTCTGTTGTTCTCCTTGTGGAGTTCCTGTCCCCTCCAGGTTTTTCTATCTCCCTCTTCTTCCGTAAGGATTCTGGCACTCTACCTAAAGTTTGGCTGTGAGTCTCTCTATCTTCTTTGCTACTCTGCTGAGTAGAGTCTTTCAGAGGTCCCCATGTGGAAGGCTCCTGTCCTGTTCTTTGTCTTCTCCTACTTCTGATGTCTATTCTGTTTGCCCTTCTGAATGAGGATTAAGCATCTTCCCTAGGGTCCTCCAAAAGACATTGGTACTGGGGTCCAGAAGGGGCCAAAGTTGTTACTGAAAGCCAAACTTGGTAATGTGTCTGAGTTTTTCAGGTTATACTGGTGTTGAATACATGAAGGGGTCAATGGAGAACAGTGGGGGCTTGGTATGTAGTAGTGCTGGAGTCTCTGGAGGGAGGGCAATGATGAAAGCATAGCCTCAGTTGCAGTAGAGGCTCCAGGATTGGAGGAGTTGTGGAGAGAAGTAGAAGTTTGGTACGATGTGGTAGAGCCAGAGTCCCTGAAAAGAGGCCAGCAGAAAAGAGCCCAGTTGCAGTGGCAGCCATGCATCCAAGAGAAGCCAGTATCCGTGGACAACTGCCATGGATAGTAACAAGTGTGGAATGGAGCTGGCTTGAGCCTAGGATACAAGCTGTGTGTGCTGTAGAGGGAAGAGCCAGAGAAGTGAATTTGACCAGGCAGGCCTTTGGGGCTCAGAGGATCATGAGTGGGTCCCAGATGTGAAACACTGAACTGTTTACATCGTCAAAATTTGGTTTGCTTTGCTTGGATTGTAACTGTGCCATGGGTCTTCCTTCTTGGAGTAAGAAAGTATACAACTTATTTTTAATTTTACAGTAGGCACAGTTTAAAGACTGAAATTTTGTAGAGACTTGGGAATTTTAGAGAGACTTTGGATAATTTAAAATACTGTTGGTATTTTAGAGAAAGTTTGAACTTTAAAAGAAACTGTTATGTTTAAAAGAGACTGAACTTTTAATGCATTTGTGAATTTTTAAAGATTGAGACTTTAAAAAGTTAGAATTTTTACATTGTGATACTATTATTAACATGCTATCTTGGGAACAAATGAAGTTATTCTAGTTGAACAGTGGTCTGTTTGTTGATAATGTATCAGTGTTGTGCTGGTTAGTTTTATGTCAACTTGATACAAGTTGGAGTCATTGGGAAAAAAGGAACCTCAACTGAGGAAAATGCTTCCACTGGATTGTCCATTTAATCTCTTCATTAGCAACTGATGTGGTGGTGGTGGAGGGCTCAGCTCACTGTGGGTAGTGCCACCCTTGGAAAAGGTGTCCTGGGTGATATATATATATATATATATATATATAACAGGCTGGGAAAGCCATGGTGAACAAGTCATTACTCCTCCATAGCTTCTGCTTCAGATCCTGCTTCCAGGTTCCTGCCCTCCCTGAATTCCTGCCCTGACATGCCTTCGTGATAGACTGTACCTAAAAGTGTAAGACGAAATAAACCCCTTTCTCCCTGTGTTGTTTTGGCCATGGTATTTTGTCATAGCAGTAGAAAGCCTGAGACACATATATGGTAATACATACACAGTGTAACTTCTATACTAGCCTGCACTTCCACAGCTGTTTTCTTGATTACAGTTTCAAAACATTCTCAAGGAAGGTTCACTACATGGCAAGGAGTATATATAAAACCATAGACTTAAGAAATTAGTATTCTTTAGGCAAACATCTGATCATTACTGGTGACTGAAAAGCCAAGTGGCAGTAACCAGCGAGACCTGGGACTAGAAGGAGCAGGACTTGAGATGACCATGTAGACTGAAAAGAAGCGGATAGCAGTGTATCCACACCTCACCAGGACACTGTGACAAACATTCCCTGTTGTGGTGACTGAGCTTTCCCTTGAATCTCTTAAATGTAGAATCTCTTAAAATGTGACCAGAAGACCACAGCCACTTTGTGGAAAGAACCCAGCCACTTTGTATCAGAGACAGTCTACAAAGCAAGTGGCTTAGATATTTCAAAAGTATCAACACAATGGGAATAGAGGCATAGTCTAGCCGGCATAGCATTGCCTAAAATGCATATGCCCTTGGTTTGGAGCTCACCCCTGCACAATGAAACAAGAAGTGCACACACGCAACCACCAAACTTGTTCCTGGCTGTGGGAGTAGCTCAGCTGTGCACTGCTTGCCTAGTATTCAAGAGGTCCTGAGCAGAATCTCTAGGGCTCAAACAAACAAACAAACGAACGAATGAACAAGAAAAATGCAATGAAAGAAGGAATGGGGAAGACAATATCGCTTGTGTCAGGAAAGACACAAACAAAAGCAAATCAGAAAAAAAAAATGGCAGAGAAGTAATGAGTTTCAGCACGTGGCAGACAGGGAAAAACAGGGAAGATGAATATTTTCCAGGTGACAGGGCATTTGAATTGGTACAATATACTAGATACCATGCTGTCTGCAGCTTGTATCTGTTTCTGATACAAAGTCTGAACTTACACAGCCACATATTATAATCTCTCTGTGTGACCAATCAGTAAGTCGGGGTTAAAAATTCTGAGTTTTCATTGTCCTTTTCTTTAGATTTTTCTGTATGTTTGAAGTTTTTAATAATAAGAAGCAAGGCAAAAGGGCAAAAGAAAGTGCTTATTCCAAGAGATATAAGATGAAAAGTGACTGCTCACATTGGCTGAATAGAAATTGTTGTTCTGGACAAGCATTAAAAGGTAACATTAACTCGGTCCCCTTCCTCCAATGCATATTTTTATTGCCTTTTCTGAGTGAGATTCAAATATCATCCCTTGGATCCTCTTTGTAATTTAGCTTCAGGGGTGGGGATTAGGAGTGGAGAGAGGGCCTGGTAGGAGAACAGAAATCAGAGTTGGGGGCATCTCTGGGGTTTGCCAGAGACCTGGGATAGGGGAGGTCCCAGGAAGTCTATGGGAGTTACCCTAGCTGAGACTTCTAGCAGAAGAGGATGTGGAGCCTGAAGTGACTGCCTCCTGTAGCCAGGCAGGATTTCCAGGGGAGGGACAATCACCCACCCACAAAACTTCCACCCCAATTTATCCTGCTGACAAAATGTGCAGAAACAAAGATGAGCAAATATTACTGGAGACCCATCCCATGAGAGAGAATCCTGACACTATTAATGTTACTCTGCTATGATGATAGACAAGAGTCTAGCATAACCCCCTGAGAGGCTTCACCCAGCAGCTGACGGAAACTGATGCAGAGACCCACAGCCAAACATTAGACAGAGCTTGGGTGTCACATGGAAGAGCTGGGAGAATGATTGAAGGAGCCGGAGGAGTCAAGGACTCCACAAGATGACCTACAAAGTCAACTAGCCTGGGCCCATGGGGGCTCATAGAGACTCAAGCACCAACCAAACAGCACGCATGGACTTATCCTAGTCCACCTGCACATATGTAGCAGATATGCAGCTTGGTCTTCATGTGGATACCCAACAACTGGAGCAGAGACCCTCTCTGACTCTGATGCGTGCCTTTGAATCCCATTCCCCTAACTGGGCTGCCTTGTCTGGCCTCAGTGGGAGAGAATGCACCTAGTTCTGCAGTGACTTAATGTGCCAGAGCAGGTTGATACCCATCATCTCCCCCTTCTCTGAGGAGAAGGAAAGGTGAGAATGGGGGAGGGAGGGTCATATGAGTGGGGGACTGGGAGGACTGCAATCAGGATGTAAAGTGAATAAATAAGTTTTAAAATGTAACATTAAAATGAAAACAGTGGTTTAAGATAAGGCCCGTTTTCTTTTGCTTTTATCCCTCTTAGTACTCATAAAATAAATAATAGCTGCAACAGTGACAATGCCAGTTTGCACTGCTGTACATCAGGCTACTTGTCAGTCATCACTATCGCATTCTGGAGGAGGACCTCCCCTATCAGTGGACTTGTAGAGGGGCGTGGGAGGAGATGAGGGAGGAAAGGTGGGATTGGGAAGAGATGAGGGAGGGGGCTACAGCTGGGATACAAAGGGAATAAACAGTAATTAATAAAAAAATGCAATTTCTTTTGCATTAGAATCAAATTTCTGATTTTCTTTTCCACTGCACTCTTGTGAGAGGTTAGTATGCTGCACGGGGTTAGCTTGATTTCCTGGTGATTTTCTAGGACTCTGAGGCCTTTTGAAGATGTTGGCAGCCCTCTCACCCTGCCACCAGGACCCAGACATAGGACTTACTTTTCAGACTCCTTGTTCTCAGGAGGAGAGCGGCTTTCAGGCATTTGGGTCAGCATGGCACCTCCTCTGCTGGAAATGGTCCATTGCTGCCACAGGGGAGGTGCAAGAGCCCAGTTAGCTCCTGAAAACTCTGGAAGAGGAAGGATAGAGAATTTTCAGTGTGTCAAAAGTGAGAATTAAAAATCCTAATGATGAAAGAACGAAAAACTCCACTTCCAACATGGTGGAGTGGTCATCTACTACCAAAGTGCATTCCTCACCCAGGAATCATTTCTTTTTAATAAAGTGCTTTGAAGATTTATTCTGTTATTATTTAAAACTATTTATATATGTGCCTGTAACACAACAAAACCTCTGGGACATATTAAAAGTAGTTCTAAGAGGGAAGCTGACAACCCTAAGTACTTACATAAAAAATCAGAAAAAGCACATGTAAATGACTTGGTACCGCTTGAGAATTTGACTACATGTAGAAAAACACAAATAGATCCATACTTATCACCCTGCACAAAACTAAAGTCCAAGTGGATCAAAAACCTCAATATAAAACCAGACACACTAAACCTGTTAGAAGAAAAAGTGGGGAAGAGCCTTGAACTCATTGGCACAGGAGACAACTTCCTGAACAGAACACCAACAGCACAGGCTCTAAGAGCAACGATCAATAAATGGGTCTTCATGAAACTGAAAAGCTTCTGTAAAGCAAAGGACACTGTCGTCAGGACAAAACGACTGCCTACAGATTGGAAAAGAATCTTCACCAACCCTATATCTGACAGAGGGCTGATATCCAGAATATATAAAGAACTTAAGAAGTAAAACAGCAACAAATCAAGTAACCCAATTAAAAAAACGGAGTTCAGAGCTAAACAGAGAATTCTCGATAGAGGAATATAGAATGGCAGAGAAACACTTAAAGAAATGCTCAACGTCCTTAGTCATCAGGGAAATGCAAAGCAAAATAACCCTAAGATTTCACCTTATACCCATCAGAATAGCTAAGATCAAAAACTCAAGGGACAACACATACTGGAGAGGTTGTGGAGAAAGAGGAACCCTACTCCACTGCTGGTGGGAATGTAAACTTGTATAACCACTTTGGAAATCAATCTGGTTCTTTCTCAGACAATTAGGAATAGTGTTTCCTCAAGATCCAGCTATACCACTCCTAAGAATATATTCAAAAGATGTGCAAGTATACAACAAGGACATTTGCTCAACCATGTTTGTAGCAGCTTTATTTGTAATAGCCAGAAGCTGGAAACAGCCCAGATGCCCCTCAGCTGAGGAATGGATACAGAAATTGTGGTACCTGTACACAATGGAATATTACTCAGCAATAAAAAAACAAAAACAAAAACAAAAACAAAAAACAAAACAAAACAAGGAAATTGTGAAATTTGCAGGCAAATAGTGGGATCTAGAAAAGATCATCCTGAGTGAGGTATCCCAGAAGCAGAAAGACACACAGGGTATATACTCACTCATAAGGGGATATTAGATATATAATATAGGATAAACATACTAAAATCTGCACACCTACAGAATTTGAAAAAACACAGACAAACCAAATCCAAACCCAGTTAATGATAAAAAAAAATAATAAAAGTCAGATCAGAAATCAATGAAATAGAAACAAAGAAAACAATTCACAGAATCTAAAAATTTAAGAGTTGGTTTTGAGAAGATAAACAAAGTGACAGACTCTTGGGTTAACTAACCAAAGGAAAGAGTTGACTCAAATTAACAAAATGAAAAACAAACAGGAAAACATTACAACAAACACCAAAGAAATATATGATATTATAAAACCTATACTCCATTAAGTTGGAAAATCGAAATAAAATAAAAATAGTTGAATTTCTTTTTTTCTGTTTATTTTTTAAAATTAATTTATTTTTATTGATTACATATTATTCACTTTGTGTCCTAGCTGTAGACCCTTCCCTCATCCACTCCCAATCCCACCCTCCCTCTTTTTCTCTTATGCCTCACCCCCAGTCCATTGATAGGGGAGGTCCTCCTCTCCTTCCATCTGACCCTAGTCTATCAGATCTCATCAAGACTGGCTGCATTGTCTTCCTCTGTGGCCTGGTAAGGCTGCTCCTCCATCAGGGGGATGTGATCAAAGAGCCAGCCACTGAGCTCATGTCCGAGACAGTCCCTGCTCTCATTACTAGGGAACCCGCTTGGAGACTCATGGGCTGCCATGGGCTACATCTGTGTAGGGGTTTTAGGTTATCTCTATGCATGGTCCTTAGTTGGAGTATCAGTCTTTTCTTCTTCTTTTTTAAATCACAGGTTTTTTTTTTGTTTTGTTTTGTTTTTATCACAGAGTTTTTTTTTTGTTCAGCTCTAACTGTCTTGGAACTCACTCTAGACCAGGCTGTCATTGAACTTAGAAATTCACCTGTCTCTGCCTCCCGAGTGCTGGGCTAAAGGAGTGTGCCACCATTGCCCAGCTTGGATGAATGTCTTGCTTCTTCCAAATTACTAAAGCTAAACTAAGAAGAGACCAACAATCTAAATGGATCCATAATGAAAGAGGAGCTTGAAACAGTAATAAAAAAATTCCAGCTTTAAAGAAAATCATACCCAGATGGGTTCACATAAGAATTTTTCAGACTTTCAAAAAAGAACTAGTCAATACTTCTTAGTTAAAAAATAGAAATAGAGGAATCACTCTTGAACTTCTTTTAAGACGTCTATATTACTCTAATACCCAAAGCATATAAAGGTATAACAAACAAGCTACAGACCAATATTCTTAATGAACATAGATGCGAAATCTTTAATAAAATACTAAGTAGCTAAATACAGGCACATATATAGATCGTCCACCATAATCAAGTTAGCTTTATCCTAGAAATGCATGGATGGCTCAACATACACAAGCCAATAAATATAATAAATCATACACATGGACTTAAAAATAACAATCACATGATGATCTCAATAAGATGCAGAAAAAGCATTTGGCAAGATCAAACACGTATTCATGATAAAGTTCTAAACAGAGAAGGACTGGAGAGAAGATATCCCCACCTAATAAAGGTATATGTGACAAACACACAGCCAACATTTGTAGTAAATTTAGGAAAATCTCAAAACGATCCCATTAAAATCAGAAACGGGAGAGGGTGTCTACTGTCCCACTCCTTTTCAGCATTGTGCTCAAAGCACTAGAGGGGACAATATGGAAAGAGAAGGAAATTAATGGGGTGCAATAGGAAAAGAAGTCAAACTACCCCTATTTGCGGATTATATTATACAATATATAAGAAATCCCAAAATGACAAGATACAAATATACCTAAGAAAAACCAAACAAAAAATTTTAATACTACCAACAAAAACAGAACAAGATCTCGGTGAGACTCCCATTTACAATCTCATCAAGGACAATAAAATATCTCAGAATAAACTTAAACTAAGGTGGCGAAAGATCTTTACAATGAAAATGTCAAATCTCTGAAGAAAGAGATTGAGAAAGACACTAGAAAATGGAAAGGCACACCATGTTTATGGGTCAGTAGAATTAATATTGTGAAAATGGCCAGACTTCCAAAAGCTATTAAAGCCCGATACAATCTCAATTAAAATATCCATAGCATTTGTCACAGAAATAGAAAAAAAAATCTATCCTAAAATTCAAACAGAACTAGAAGATTTTCCAGGTATCCAAAGAATCATACTGGGGGTGACAATCACCATTCCCCCCTTCAAGATATATTACAGAGTTACAGTAATAAAAACAATATGGCACAGGCACAAAACAGACTAATGAAACAAAACAGAAAGGACAAACCATCCGAGATTCGTCAAAAACATGCACTGGAGAAAAGATAGCACCTTTAACAAATGGTGTGGGGAAAACTGGACATCCACGTGCATGATTTTAGATCTGACTCTACCATCCTGCACAAACATTTACTCTGAAGGAATCAAAGATCTTGATTTGAAACCAAAAAGCTCAAACTGCTAGAAGAAAATATAGGCAGTATCCTAGAAGATGAAGGTGTAGAAGAGGACTTTCTGAAATTGCCCCCTTTGGCCTAAGCATTAAGACTACAATTGACAAGTGGAATGTCGTAAAACTAAAATACTTCCGTGCAGCCAAGGAAACAACCAAAAAAAAAAAAATGAAGAAACTTATAGAATTAGAGGGAATCTTTGTCAGTTATACATGTGACAGAGGATTACTAGCCATAATATACAAAAAAGAAAAACAATGGGTCAAGGGAAAAATGACATAATTAAAAAACAGGCTTGATATTTAAACAGAGAGTTCCCAATAGGAGAAATAAAATTTGCTAAGAAATCTTCAAAAATGTTTATCATCATTAGCTATTAGGGAAATGCAAATGAAAACAACTTTGGTATTTCATCCGGTCCCAGTCGGAATGGATAAAATCAAGAAAACAACTAAAAATAAAGCAGGTGTGATTGTGGGGAAAAGGGAACACTCATTCACCAGTGGCAGGATTGCAAACTTGTGCAGTCACTCTGGGAATCAGCATGGGGAATCCTCAAAAAACTAAAAATAAATCTACCTCATGACCCAGCTTATACCACTCCTGGGACGTGTCCAGAGAACTCACATCCCACTTACTCCACACAGACTTGCTCAGAAATATGCATCACTATCATATTCACAACAGCTAGAACACTGAAACAACCTAAATGTCCTTCAGCGGATGACTAGATAATTACAATGTGGTAACAGACACAGTGGAATATTATTCAGCTGTAAAGAAAAATCACAAAACCACAAATTTGTGGTTAAATGGACGGACCTGGAAAAGATTATCTTGAGTGTTGTAACCTAGACCCAGAATGACAAATATTATGTGTTCTCTCTCATCTGAGTTTCTACTTCCAAATCTTCAGGTGTGGGCATACAAGAGGGAGCAATTAAGAAACTAGGGAAGTATAAAGGGACCATCAAAAGTAGGGATTTAAGAAGAGAATAGCATGGAAAGGAGTAGAGCTTTTAGGCAGCTACTCTTTTTTTTTTTTTAAGATTTATTTATTTATTATATATACAGTATTATATCTGCATATACAGCTATATGCCAGAAGAGGGCACCAGATCTCATTATGAGATGTGAGCCACCATGTTGTTGCTGGG